TGGATTAAATTTCGGCCTTAGGGTTGAGGGTTTAGGGGTTTAGGGTCTAGGGTCTCAAAATAAGCTAAGCTTCGCAGGCCGGGTTGACACATGTGCCGGACTGGTAGTAGCTCTGGGCATGGCAGACACGGCACCATCGTAGGTCGAGGCGAGGTCCTGGAAGCAAGCATTACGATGCCACCAATATCCTGTAAAAAAGGAGCCGCTGGCTACCTGATTTATAAATCCTGTAAAAAAGGAGCCGCTGGCTACCTGATTAAACCATGTCCTGCACGAGCTTGTCCACCTGAAAACCCAGCAGCTTCTGGTCGACCTTCAGCTTGTGGACGTGGAGGTTCCTGCGGTGGGAGTGGAGCTTCTCGAGCTTGAGGTTCAACTTGAGGTGGTGGAGGTGGAGGTCGAGGTGAAGCTTGTGCTTGAGCTTGAAAGTGAACTTCACCTTGAGCTTGAAGTGGAACTTGAGGTGGAGCTTGAGGAACTTGAGGTGGAGCTTGAGGACCTTGAGGTGGAGCTTGAAGTGGACCTTGAGGTGGAGCTTGAAGTGGACCTTGTGGCCACGTGCAGCTGGGCCAGCCTAGCGGAGGAGGCCACGTGACTCCAGGCCATGCTTGAGGAAACTGCCAAGGGTAGCCTGGAGCCCAAGCATGTCCTTGAGGCCAGCTTAACGGCGGCGGCCCTTGCGGCGGTTGAGTATGCCACCCTTGCGGCGGCGGCCCTTGCGGCGGTTGAGTTTGCCACCCTTGCGGCGGCGGCCCTTGCGGCGGTGGTGGACTTTCAGGAACAGCTCGCCGCCACGGGGGAACTCCAGCACCTGCAGCAGGGATCTGGATCGATTACATGCCTTAGATTTTGCCGGGTCCAGCCTGGGCCTTGAGTCTGCTCCGGACCAGTTGCCCACGGGGAGCTTTGACAACCTGCAGGCCGGACCAGAGCTTAGGAGCCTGTGGCTGCCTGATCCATCCTACTTAAAAGCTGAAGGAGCCATGGGCTTCCTATATTAAGCCTTAGAACTTGTCGGGGTCGAGCCTGGGCCTTGAGTCTGCTCCGAGCCAGGTGCAGCCGTGGAGCTTTGACAACCTGCAGGCCGGACAGGAGCTTAGGAGCCATTGTCTTAGATTAAAAGATTTTGTCGGGATCGAGCCTGGGCTTTGAGTCTGCTCCGGGCCAGGTGCACCTGGTCTCCACGTGGAGCTTTGAGCACCTGCAGGCCGGACCGGAGCTTAGGAGCCTGTGGCTGCCTGATCTATACTTATAAAGCTGAAGGAGCCATTGCTTCCTAAATTTTTGAAGTGGCGCCTGAGCTGGAGGCCGCCTGCTGCAGCAGTTGCTCCAAACGGGCTGCTGCCTCTTCTTCAGCCATGCAAAGCTCAGCTAGCCTCTCTGCTGCCTCGTGAGTTTTTTTGGCAGCCTCCTCGTGCATCTTCGTCTTCTGTTGAGCCCTTGCTAGAGCTTCTGCCTTCTTTTTCTCAGCTTCTTCGAGCTTCGCCCTCTGAGCCGCCTCAGCGGCAGCCTTGGCCCTCTCAGCCGCCTCAGCGGCAGCCTTGGCCCTCTCAGCCGCCTCAGCGGCAGCGGCTGCCTTCGCTTTCTCCGCCGCCTCATGGAGCTCCGCAGATTCCTCGAAGCTCAGGTCGATCACTTCCGCCTCCATCGGCATTGGCATTTCCGGACCTGCAGCACCAGTACCGGGGATCACTTCCGCCTGCACTGGCACTTCCGGACCTGCAGCACCAGCACCGGGGATCACTTCCGCCTGCACCGGCACTGGCACTTCCGGAGGGCCCTCCTCGTCCACCTGCATCGGCTGGTTCGGGGCAGCACCAGCACCAGCTGCACCATCTTCAGGGGCCGTGCGAACGACTTCCCATCCATCGTCGACACGGCCCCACACGGCCACCAGCAGCACAAGAGCTGCCACCCTCATGGCTTCGAAGGGCACTAGCTTAAGAGCTTCGAGCACAAAAGCTGCAGATATATGCACATGCATTAAACAAGCACTCACACTCTACAGGCATGCAAACACTCTAGAGGAGCCTTGGGCTTCCTGTCGATCATTACTCTAGAGGAGCCTTCGGCTTCCTGTTCCTCTCGATCATTACTCTAGATCTAGCCTTCGGTTTCCTGTCTCGCTACGAATCCTAGCTCAACCTTAGGAGCCTTTGGCTTCCTGCTGACCCTTTCACATGCCAAGTGAAGGCACTGATGCAAGCAACTTATTGTGGCCTTGCAGCTCAATGCCAATACGATGGCATTTCAAGACATAGAAAATTAGTCTATTTTAGGATATTTACATATCCTATAATAGACTATTTAGGCTATTTATAAATAGCCTATATATCCTACAATAGGATAGTATATATCCTATCAATTAACAGCCTAAGAAGATTCTTTGGGTTGTGAGCATCCTTGTGAACTTTAACTGACGAACCATGATTGATGCAAACTGATGAGCAATCACCTGTCATTCCATGGTTTTGGAGGAATGCGTTAATGTATCGGGTAGAATGGGCATACTTCTGAGTTTTGTTGGTGATGCCCTGAACGCCACCATGAGCGAAAGCGCCAAGCACAAGATACTCAACGTTTCCGTCGGTGCCACCCTTGCGATTCGTGATCGACTTGCGATTGCTCTTTGAAGGCTTGCGATTCATGGACTGAAGTAGCTTCAGACAAGACTTACACTGAAAGTCAAGGTTCTCAAGTAACTCTTTTGCCATGGTCTCTGACTCCTCAGTATTCTTGCCAGGCTTTTCAGCCGGCGGTGCAGGAAGGCTGGGCTCTGGACTGCGTCGCGCAGGGAGCGCGATGTTTTCCTTCCAGGACTTCAGGTAAGGCACATTGTCCTTTACATCAAGGTAAATCTTGTTCCCGTTGTGATCCCTGAAGTAAGGTCTACAGTTAGCTCTCCAGTGGTTCAGCGGTCGTATTGATCGAAGGAATCCTAACCTTGCATTGCTTGTCAGCGTAGTTAGGACCATTTGCAGTAATCATGTTGATGGGTCGATCCGATGTGAAATCCTTTATATCACCGAGAACGTTCTTAGAGATCAGATCCTGAGCACTGCCGGTGTCGGCAATCCATTCCATGTCAATCACGGGATCTGTCTTATTACCCTTCGCAGGACATCCGACGCAAATGCCGGGAGCAATGCAATGGGAACAACCGAACTCAGTCTTACACTTGAACTTACACGCGGGATTCGCACCCTGATACATTCCTTCAATCGTTGACCTCAGCATCTTAGCTGTTGCCAAAGCATCCCGAACATCCTGCCCATCAGCTTTGGGCTTGTAGTTAACAGGAAATTCTTCACTGAAAACCCTCGGCTCGACCTCAACTTCACGCCAGTTGGAATTCTCCGCGGGCGTGGGGATGTAATGATACTCAGGAGCGTTTGAGAATCTTACAGACGCCAAAGCAACATGAGCGGCGCTCGTGCACGAGTCGGCGTAGTTCGGCATTTCCTTCCGGAAAGCGTGTGCATCGGCTTGGGATGCCGAACCTGCGACAAGTGCGCCTAAGAGGCAAACGGCGGCAGGAAGCGAAGTTTTAGGTTTCCGCCCCCCCGAGCCCTTACTGTTCCCAGAGCCTTTGCTCCCTTTGGAGCCTCCACTGCTCTTGGAACCCTTAGAGCTGGAACGAGACTTCTTCCTGTGCTTCTTTTCTTTCTTCTGTTTCTTACTCTTCCTTTCACCGCTTGACTCTCTACCGCTGCCAGTGGCTGGAGCAGAAGGCTGGCCTTTGTGAATGAAACGGCACTTGTCACCCTTGTTGCATTTACCATGCTTGAAGAATTTGCACTCTGCATTAATCTTCCCAGGAGATGAGCTCCCCCTTCCGGAGGGCGACTTGCCTCGGCCTTTACCTTTGCTTGGGGTCCTACCACGTGGCTTCTCGGGCATCTGATGCTTATAAGAACATTTTTCTTTGTTGCACGAGCCGTTCCGAACAAAGTCAATGCAGAAGCCTTTGGGCACACGCTTTAGCGGTGCGGGTGCCGATGGCATACCTGCTGCGGCCTGCCTTGCAATCCGTTCCCGGTTGCGCTCAAGCCGTTTGACCTTGATGACCCGGTTAACGGCGTTGTACAAATACTCATAGGATTTCTCCTGTGTGCCGTCTACTGCCCTTTCATAGATGGCAATGTCGTGCGCCAGAAGCTTACACTTCTTAACCTGTCTATGAAACAAGGGTTGCAAAACATCGTCAGCAGGTGCTTTCTTCATGCCTGAGAGAACAGTATCCCAGTTACGCACGAATTGCACAAGGTTCTCGTTAAGCATGACGACATTGAGCAGATCCTCCATATCGTACACGGACCCATGGAGTGCGTTGGTCGACAGATAAGCATTAAGCTTATGCAGAATTTGACGGCCACGAACTAACCGCCCTTCGTGTCCTTCCCTCTCTTTAAAAGGGTCAATCTGGCGAGCAAAATCACCTTCCAGAATGTTTGTGATTGCTGAGAGGATCTTCGCATCAAGCGTTGTGAATCCGTTAGGATCACGAAGGGACTCTTCCGTGGTATCATCCTTCCACACTTCGCCGAGCCACTCGAAAGCCTCATCGGGACGGTCAGAGGCGGCGACCACAGCCTCGCGTGCGCGAAGCCTCCAGTTGCGATAGTTCTCTGGCTGGGGAAACTTCGGAAACACAATCTTTTCGGCTTCCTTGACCTTAGGCCTTCCCCTTGTCGCCTCGGTTTCCTCTTCATCGTCCTTGTCTTTCTTAGACTTAGTGACTTTCTTAAGCATCTTCAGGAGGTCCTTCTTGGATAAGGAAATAGAAGACGACGATGATGAATCAGATGAATCTCTTTTCTTTTTCTTCTTTTTGTCCTTTTTCTTTTTCTTCTTCTTGTCACGGGAATCGTCTTCGGGCTCATCCCCGTCGCCGTCGCTTTCGGGAGGCGAGTCACCTCCACCTCCGCCTGGCGGACCACCATCTACTTTACCCAGACCCGGAGGGGTGTGAATAGGGTGTTCAATGGGCGACTGATCTCCTACGGCAGTTGGTGAAGCTTCGTCATCGACTCAGCCTGTTGGCGATGCACTTGCATGAATGCACCCATCTCAGACTTGAGTTGGCTTAGTTCGCCATTCATGACTGCAACGGTATCTTGGCTGGCCCGACTTCGGTTAGCCAACTCTCTCTCAGCATGGGCTACAACGTCCGAGACTGTGACCTCAGCCTGATGAAGCTTGATCTTGTAGTCTATGGCTTCACGTCGCATCTGCGACAACTCATCGCTGTGTTTGTTAGCCATGCTTTCGCCGGCTGCTCGAAGCATTTCTTCTTTCTGTTGCAGACGACTCTCCGCTTGGGCAAACTCCAACCGAAGTTGGGCAGCACCGGATAACGCTTGTGCATGAAGCTGATTGAATTGCTCCCTGTGCAAATTGCTTGTTTCCGCCATGATCAATCTGTGGCGTGCTTCAGCTTCAGCTGCAACGGCTGGTCCTGTGTCAACTTGATGTACATGGACTGCCTGTTGCAACGTCGGTGCAAGGACATTTTGTTGATAGTAGTTCGCGACGTTTCTGATCTCGCTGGGTGAATATTGGACCGAATTATGTTGTTGAGGCGATCCCGCCAGGGATGCGTGCTGGTGCGCTGAGCTTGACACATAGGCCCATTCTGACACCGCTCCTGGTGCACCTCTTCGGGGATCTGTTTGGCCCATCACGGCCAAGGCCTCTGCCGTCAGAGGAACAACTTGGCCACCCTCTCGGGTACCGGGGACAACCTGATCCGTGCCATCGTCTTGGACGGACATGGCAGGAAGAGAATTGAGATCCTCGGTATCGGCGCGAGCCGCGGAAATGTCTATCGCGGGAATACCTGCAGGATTTACGGGAGCATCCATCGCGATCTACAAACGAAGTGAGACCTACGGCTGATAACCTATGTTTACAGGCAGAACAGCCAGAATGCAGACGCATATTTTCCTGAGCCAATGAACGACGGTAGGTACGGTCGACTAGCTACATCTTCCACAAAATACAATCACAAGGCACGCTGCTCGCCCGCGTGCTGTCCGGTCTGTTTGGCTTCGTTCATTCGCTTTGCACGCTGATGCCAGGCACAGAACAAACGCCGACTTCGGCATTAGAACACCAAAAGAACGCGAGGCTTGTGCCCAAGGCATGCCGTCTCGTCGAAAGATGCCAAAAGCTCAACTCGTGCTCGTGCAGCGGCTGTTGCCTTGTAGTCTACAGGATCCGAGCTTCCACTTTGGGGCTTCTCCTGGCCCACGGCTAAAGAATTCTGGAAACCCACGGAGACATTGACAGTGGCTGGCATGCAAACTGGTTCGAAGTCGCACAAGGCAACAAGGAATGCACCTTTGTCACCTTCCGCGTCTCTTTCTTCTCTTCCGGCTCTTCCAGTTCTTCCGCTTCCGGCTCTGCAGCCTCAGTCTCAACAGCCAGATGAGAAAGTGCTGTCGCAGGGCGAGGCCTCAACCTGAAGCTTTTCGTTTCCTGTGACTTCTGGGCCATCATGGTTTTGCACGTTTCCCACCCACTCTACGAACTTGCCTCGGCAATCCTACGAGGCCACAAGGTAAGACCTAGTGACCTGAGATGTAGCAACAAGAAAAGAAACACCCTTTGCCAATGCTGCCCGGAACAGGTGCGCTGCTCTCCGCCTCTTCCGGGGACTCCTTTGTGGACACGCGAGTCAACATTATAGCAACGCCTGCAACGGCCAATGCCAGCATCATGACAAGGGCCAACTAACCTAATCCCTAACACTGTAGTACACCCGTAGAACCAATCACGCCCTATACGACAGCAAAGCTGGAGTTGGTTGCAATAGAGTGGTCATATTATCCAAGACAAGCTCGCCGAGGAAACTTAGAACGGTACGCACTGTCAATGAAAAGCACAGCAACGTGCAGCGATGTCCTGCGCATCATGCTCCTCGAGTCGGGCGATCAGCTCTGCCTGTGGCTTGGGATCGTGAGCAACTTGAGGGCATGTGCGTGATGCAGCCCGCAACCCTGAATTGACAACTCAAGCGATCTCAATACCTCCCACAAAGCCCAGCGAAACAGTTGTCCCGACTAAGTCACGAAATTTACTGAAGGCTAAACAGCTCTTCTTCCCTCTGCGCGAACCTTTTTGCCGCCGACTTTCAGCCCACGTTCGGAGAGCACCTCTTTGAGCTGTTTCACCTGCCGGGAGAGCCCAGACTGCAGAGAGCTGAGGTGTGTCAGGTCACCCCAAGGAGGATACAATTCACTCGTCCGTTAAGATTGTCGAGCCGTATGCTTGTCGGCAAGGATGCAAAGTGCGCACAGCGAGGAGACTCCAGAAACTCGCGGCGAAAGGAAGACAACACACCACCAGTCAGAAGCCAACGTTGTGGCCTTATCACTATAGGGCCTTCGGCAAATCCCTCCAGCCCCTCTGAACGGATGCGGAGTTCCGACTTTGGGTCCCCTCGCGCCGTCATGTCGCCGTAAGCTTCCAGGGCGAGCTGCCCAAGAAGTTGTCGCTCGGGCGCCTCCCACTTTCCACATAACTTACTACTGGGCCTTACGGCTTCGGGTTTAGGGTTGAATTTGCTGTACTGCAGCATCTTGCATCATCGTAGACTATCCTGATACGTAAACTGTATACAGTTCAGAGAAGAGGATGGCCGCCTGCATAAATCTTCTTGGCATGGAGCTCCCATGCACGAAAGCCGTCGCAGAAGCGACTACGAGCGCCGCAAGACATAGTGCCTGCCACGGCGGGGTTGAAGGGATGGAGCGCATACACAAACACTTGGTATCAAGGTGGAAGGGGTGCCTTCTAAGGCCATACACGAAATCTTGGTCGAAGCGAAGACAATCCAGACCGGAAGCACAGAAGTCTGACTTGCCTTGCCGTGGCGGAAAATTCGCCTGCGTCTGGCCCTGTGTGCTTCAGCACCTGGTGGTGTGAGGCAGGGACACAAAGAAAAGGGCTCCGAAGTTGAGGAAATGAAATGTGCCAGGGATTTGGCCTCGTCGCCCATCCAGCTGTATAACGTAGCCGGTCATGAGTCAAAACCCGGACTCTTCATCACAGCCGGGCGACGGGTTTTCCAGCTTGAGCCACAGTGGAGTGAGGTGGAGTTCCACATCCAAGAACTGCTCGAAACAAACGGTCAATTACACGAACCGGACTCGCGGTGCTCAGTATCTGTGAACAATGTTGAACATACCATGATGTCGTTCCGGGCGGCCAGCATAGCTCTTGACAACTTCGAGACCTGCATCTCCACCTCCACAGACTCTGCTTTCAGGTTTCGGAGGAGCAGCTATTTGGCAACGGGTAAACTTGAGTTAGTTGACTGAAGAATAGTAATCACAGCCACAGAATATTGACCAACTAGACACTAGTCACTATGCCAAACGCCGACGAAGTCGAAGCGGGCTCGTGAAGTTTGCCTTTGAAGACTGCCGTCGCCACAACCACGGCCGACATCGCAGATGCTAAGCCCTGCCAGGTGTGAACATGGAGACTCTTGCTGGCATGTCGTGTCATCAATGGGACCTTCTTGCTGCTGTGGTCGGGGGTCACTTCGCTGATCCACCTCATCTCAGAGCTAGGCCGAGAGTACAACCCGCCAACATGCAAGTCGTTCCTCTCGGAATGTCGAGATCGTGGGAATGTTGGCCATAGGCCCGAAGGCGTCACCTCTGAGGGATCAGCTTCAGCTGCTCTTCGGCCTCGGAGAACGGTAGCCAAACCACGCGAGTGTAAAAGCACCGCAGAGGCGATGACATGCTGAGCTGCTACGCTGCTACTACTTGGTAGTATGTCAAGCGGCCTCCTCGTGCGCAGCTTGCGGCTGGCCGGCTTGAAGCTGGGCCTCGGCGTGACGACACTTCTGCCCCGTCCATGTCCACTCGCTGAGCTGCGCTGAGGAAGCCACTTCCACGATGGCCTCGCTCGCTTTGCCAGCCTTGGACACAGACAGCGGACGGTGGACGGCGCCTCCCGGCCTTGAGGGAGGCAATGGGGTGCCCTCTTGGGCAGCGGCCTGTGCCCAGCTCCCGGCCTCCCGGGCCACCTTCAGGGCCTGGCGTGAGAAGTCGCGAAGAGCAAGCCGATGCCCCAAAGCTCTCAAACAGGAGGGAAGCTCAAAAGAAAACGTGATTGCGCCGACACCCAGCCACGCCAGTCGTGCTCGCCACGGCCACACGACAATAACACTTCCTTTTCTACAGACATTTCACCGGCGTCATCGCTACAGTAGCTAACTCATCAGACTGCCAACCAATCAGCACGACCGAATAACCGCATATAACCGCAATCATGGCAATGCCAGCCATACCATGCTGCCGCGTCAGCAGAATATCTGACGAGCAAAAGCTCAAAAGGAGGAATGAAACGCTCCCAAAGCGTGAAAAAAATCCCCAGCCGCACGGCCTCCCTGGCCGAGGCCAGGGCTGCCAAAGCGTCCTCGCGCACTGTTGACCCTCAGCGAGCCGCGAGCTCGCGTTTCCCCTTTCGCAGTCCTGTCGCGCCAGCTGCCCGCGCGCCAGCTCGATGAGCCTCTCTTCGGAGAGAGCCGATCTTTGCAGACTCTGCGGAACCCTCCAAGGGAACGGCATTTGCGCTTCACCCACGCGGCTGCCGAGCTTCCGGAAGAGGTCCAACGCTTTGCGAGCAGCCTGGTAGCAAGGGTTCGGACGCCGGTTGCTGAGCCCACCACCCTCAAAACAATGGTGTGATGTTGCGTGCGCTTCTGTGCTGCTGATGCCGAAACTGAGGCAGAGCGGCTGGGTACTACCGAACTGAGGTTTCATGACCACTGAGAGTGCTGCTGAGGAAGGGCCAAAACGAATCGCAGCAGCACGTCTTGCACCACTCGTACCAACTAACTACTGCTAGTAGGACGACCCACCCATCGACCGATCGAGGGAGTGGTCATTGTCCGAGGTAAACCAGGATTCAAACCCATCTTGAAGGGGGTTCTCCCTGCCTCTGTTGCATCCTCTGCGGAAGCTGCGAAACGGCCGGCTGCCACGAGGCCCCAGGCGCGGGCCTCGACCTGACAAGACCCAGCAATTGCCTCCTGATTGCAGCACTACATGTTTCAGTCCTGGCAGGTCTAACATTGAGCAGTGGCAGTGGCCGCAGTGGCCTCTGGATCCTTCACCTTTTGAGCGACATCGAGGACGAGGTTTGCCGCGTCCATGGCCTGCAGAGACTTCAAACCTTCCTGGCTGCCCGACGTGTTGGGTTAGGATCTTGCTGCGAAGCCTTCTGGCCATCACCTCGCTGCAGGTGCGCAGGGGCCACGACCTGTCAAAGAGCGAATTGTGCAAACCGATGACGAAAACCTCTCCAGATGTAATGCCCCATCGTCCACATCTATCACACGTACCAGGACACACATGGCACCTCCAGCAGCACATCTGCAAGAGCGGGATAGTCCTGCAGTTACTGGGTCACCAACAGTTCAACAATCTCCACGATCTATGGTGTGGTTGGAGAGAAGCTCCCGACGGCAAACAACTGAAGCCAACGTCGCCTCCTCCCGCTGAAAGTATGCTTCAGCATCAGCGGCGGCCAGGACAGCTTTGACAGGCTCTGCCTGGCATGCAAGTCTAGCCCATGAGAGGAATTATTTCTGCTTCCGCACGTCGTACAAGGCTAGACTAGACAGAGAGCGAGAGAGATCGATCGAGAGACGGAGAGCCAGCGACGTGCCTGCCTGAGTGCCTTGCCTACACCCCTGATCTCAGTCTGCCCAATCCACCTTTGCAAGCTGGACCGCCGCCAGTGTAACCTGCATAGCTGCCTCACCACAGCATCCAGAGAAGCGAAGCAAGACGTCTAAACCGCTACCACTGCAAAACCGCACCAACTAACGTCCTAGTCTGTACAAGTAGCACTTCATCGAATGTCGCCTCGGCACGGCGGCCGTCTCGCGCAGTGCGTTTAACCTTTGCGGCCTCCTCCTGGGCAAGCTACACTATTAGACTGCAGCCTTCCTCTACCTGGGAGATGCGCAGACACAAGAGCTGCATCCACGCAATTCAGTCTAGCGCGCCTTCACCTTTGTGAGGGCCTCATCTGGCTTCACCTCGCCGCGAGCTAGCTGCGCTATGAGCATAGGACCTGGGCTGCGAGGGCCGTGGAAAAGGATGGAAGAGGAAGGCGAAGGAAGGACGGGCTGGGTAGCTACTCTGGTAGGGATTACCAGACATGAAGAGGCTTCTGTGAGCGTCTTCCTTGCAATGCAAACAAGGGGTCCTTGGACATTCCTTGGCACGGCTGCTTGCAGAGCAAGCGTCGCAACGCTTGCGCGATGCCCACCTGGTCCTTGTCACCGAGCCAAGCAAGCCAAGACCACAAGACATCACAAGGAAGCGACACAGTGACACAGGGGCCCGGGCATTGAGCTCGCGGAAGATGCCTAGTGCCTCCTGGGCTGGAGCCAAGGCCTCGAAGGCCTTCAGGGCCGCCAGTGTTCCGGGCCCTTCATCCATGGACACACCCGCCTTCAGTTGCCCGACAAGGCGCTTTGCCTCGAGGAGCCTCAGGACACGGTGCAGATGAAACTGTACCGAGCGCAGAAACAGTCCGGGACCGGAAAAGTAGGCCAAGCAACAGCTCCTTAGCGCGCTCGTCTTGGGGCGCCATCGCTGGGGGTACTCTGCTGGGTGTCGGGAAACTTTGTAGAATTCCTGTTGATGAGTTTCAGTCAGGCCGGGCCACTTGGCAGCTGAAAAAACGAACCTCAACAGGAGCTAGCAACTAGGAGTGGCTGCACTGATCATGACAACTGCTTGAAATAAGGAACAGCTGCAGACACGTGTTGGGCGCAGTGGCAGGCACGGACGCAGATATGTGCAGGCACAAACGCAACACTTTCATTTTGTCCATTGCAAAATACCACAGATACCACAGCATGCGCATTGTTGGTGCCGGTTTAGAAAGGCAAAGCATATATGCCCAAGCTCGAGGGACGAGCTAACATCAACGGCAGACTAGTGCACTTGAACAGCTGGGCTGCTTGATGTCGTCTGAACAGAGGGCAGCTCCTGGCCAGAACCCGTTTTTGGAGCTGCCAAAGTCCGAACACTCGGCTGGGCACGTAGGACCGAGTAGTTCGGATAAGAATCGATTGGATTTCTCCATTGCATCGAAATGAGGCACAGTGAGGCCGCTGGCCGACTGAGCTCCCATAGCTCAACCATGGGCTGGCCTACACCACCTGAGAGCATTAGTCATTTTTCCGGAGGTGTCCGGAGGGGGCCATGGAAAATACGCCCCAGTATACACATCCAAAAAGAGACGCACCTCGTCCGCCTCACAGCCATCCAGCAAAACTTTATGCAGCACATGCCCATGCAAACGGGCAGAGACTTACGGGTTGTTTACATAAAAGTGCAGGGCCTGTGCAGTCCGAGCTACTCACAAGAGCACTTTGTTGTGCCATGGCCACAGAAGCACATTTGGCAAAGGGCTTAAGGGTCATAGTATCAAGTTGCATAGGAGCTGGGGTTTATGGGTCTAGTCTATGCGAGAGTCTGGGTCTCGCTAAGGTTTTCCCCGCTCACTGCGAGAGAAAAAGCCTTCTTCGCTGGAATGAGTGGCTCCCAGCACAGGAGCAGAGAAGCCTTGGCAAGGACTTTTGGAATTGAAATGACACGTGAACAATATGTCTTCTCTGGTGTCTGTATCCTCTATGTTCAAAGCCGGCTCATCCTCCAGAAGCACCACTCGCTGCAAATCTTCCCGAGGCCCACGCCGGCGATGGCTTTCAGTCCTCTTCAGGCTTGCAGTCCGAACTGCACTGGCGCGTATCGACATTTTGCTACTGCGGCTTCCATCCCACTTGTCTCGATTGCAGGCAGAACAACACACACGAAGTCCTGTGCTGACCGCATTTCGGCTGGCAAGGGAGGTCCGGCTAGAACCTGCCCCGGTGCTCGGTCCGAAAGAATGCGTCATACCATCGGGATGTTAATAATGCCTGCGGGAGGACAACTGAAAAGATATTGGCCCATGGCTGCCTGCTGGACGACGTTTTCATCCATCTTCTGCCGGATTGGCTCGAGGTTTACCTGTTGTGGGAAACAAATTGAATGCTTTCGGGTGGACTTGGACCTTCGACTTCAGAGGCTGCGAGATTCTGTGCCGAAGCTCTCAGAGCACTTCGCGCCTGCGTCACTCTGGTAACGCCGGTCTTTGTGTCGCCGCCCTGGGCACGCCGACGGATGGGACTCCCGGCCATGTTGGGCAGGGACAGTAGGAGACAGCTATGGTCTACGAGTCTACCACAAGAGGCTACGGGCACGGAGGTCTGTGCACTCAGGAGCCAGGCCATTGGAATCTCCACGACTTTCTCCACAGTCTGAATGAAAGGGACCTGCAAAGTCAGACGAACCGTCGCAGGTTGCTGGAAGAAGAGGGTCGCGACATCTCTCGTTTTGAGGCTCAAAAAAGCAAATGCCTTATTCTGGACTCTAGACCGATAGAAACACTGCAAAACAGCAACTTCCCATGTGTGTAGCAAACACCAAGGTCGCACTCTTGGGGCTGCGGTCGGTTCTGATCGGCTGCCACCATGTCCATCGAGCCTCGACTATTTTTTCGATGGTCTGCGTGGTTGGTACAGTCACCTGCTTGATGACTGGGACGTCGACCACCTAGGAATGGCTCAGGGCACACATTCTCACACTGTCTTGCGGCAGAAAGGGTCCACTCGCAGATCTAAGACACCAGCTTTTTCCAACGTCTCAATCACGGAAACCTCTTCAGACTTGTCACCGCAGTTGCAGCAAGTTGCTCACAGGAGGCATAATTCGTAGATTGTCAAAAGCTCGCTGAACAGGTTTGCCATGCGTGCCTCCACTGCCCTGTCAACCTGGCTGGTCACGCCGACGTGCCCTTGGTTTGTTGTGCGCTTCTGCTGATTCTGTCTGTCTCATGGGGGCTGGGCAAGGGCTTGGAAAGAGAACCCCAAATCTCGTGAGGCCTTACATGGCCTTACCAACCGATGCTCAACATGCCTGAAGGATCATGAATAGTGCTGTCCTACAATGACGAAGCCTCGGCCCGAATGGGCATCGACTCACTGAGGTCACTGCTGGCCTTCTGAATAGGGATGTGGACGTGTCGATCCACATACTCGATCTGTGGAATTTCAACAGCTCTCCTGAATAGCAGATGAAGACAAACTGGACAGCACAGCAGCAACATCCAAAAAAAAACCATCCGCTTTCGTCCAAGTCCCATCTCCTACATAGAGGGTTTAAAAAAAATAAAACGCTCGCTTTGAAGACGAGAGGCTGGCTGGTGTTCACAACCGGGACATGCACCTGCTTCTGGATTGGAACCTGCACTTCCTGCCCGGATCGAGATTTATCGATGAGGCAAGCAGCATTTGGGGTCTACACCAAATTCGACAGGGCTACGTGGTAGAGGGCACTCATGCATTTTCGCTTGCTGCGTGCTGTTCGTATCTGTTCGTGCACCTCGTCGATCCACTCCACCTGAGGGACTTCGACGGTGTGCTGCTTGACCTGCACCTGGAAATGCACTGCCAGGCACAACCAGCAATCAACCAGCTTGAAATCATTGCAGCCCTCTACTTCCCTGCCTGAGGCACATGTCGGTACTTTTGCACGGGCACCTTGCAACCGCCGAGCTTGAAAGTGTAAGTGGAAGCTTCTCACGATAGGTCTCGCCTCGACCTCCTGGTCGACGTACTCCACCTGTGGCACCTCCACGTGCTTTTGGATGGTGGTGACCTGTGGAACCATGACCTGCTTCTGGACCGGCACCTGGCACACAGAACATGACCAGCTCTTTATCGCAAATTCCTTCCAAGAAAACCCCAACCAACAGCTTCCTCTCGCACTCTGCATCACCAAACTCCCTACAGATAAATGCGGAACATAGAGTCGTCAGCAGTCCTATGCATAAGCGCCACCACCACCACCACCACCACCACCACCACCACCACCCTCATATCATGATTGTCATCAGCCGTTCTATCAGCAGTCGCAGCGGCATTGTTGCGCACATCACCATCATCATCACATCCGTTGTTCATCACATCGATCCTGTTGCATCCCATTCACGGAGGTCCGCAAATTGTTGATGTCGCTTGAAACACAAAACCTGCAGCGTTGGTTGCCATGACAATCATCACAAGTTGACAACGGATGCCAATGGCGCCAACAACGCTTTGTTGTCTGCTGCTGGATGATCAAGGCAAGCAGGACTAGCAGACTATGCGTGACGGGAAACTTCCCTCCCAATCAAACTATGGGCAAGCTCTTTTCTTTTCAATGCCATGCGTCAAACATCTTATCCCTTGGACCATCGCACGATGCAATGCGGTGAATTTAAGCATTTGAGCAAATTTTGGCACATGCTCAAAGCTACACTGGCCTCGACCACGTTGTCCACGTACTCGACCTGTGGGACCTCCACCGTCTTCTGCACCACCTGAAAGCGACATGCACGTGCTTGGATCATCGTAGCTCAACCTGCAAGCTGAGCATCCAGCATTTACCATGGGCACATGTCTGTGAGCGACCTGGCAGGCGACGACACACAAGGAACCGCAATGCACGTAGGAACCGCGCCTGGGGCAGCTCGACTTCCTGCAGGGATTGGATCTGTTTTTGTGCGGGAATCTGCTGGAAGCGCAGACGGCCTGATCCACGTACTCCACAACCGGCACCTCGACCTCTTTCTGGACCACCATGGGCTGAGGCACCTCCGAATCCAGGCATACTCGGGATCAAGGAAAAAACCTGCGAAAAATCAAAAAAACGCGGACACAGCAACATGCTCCAAGCAACCCATCGTGCATGGTTTTCAGACTCCGAGCCTCTATGATCTTCTGAACAGGAACCTGACAGTCAATGCCGGAAAGCGCCGTTGAAGCAGATGAGATGAAGGCGCACTATGCAGAAGACCGGTCGGCTTCGCAAGAACTACCAGCTGTTTCCCGCGGTCAACGATCCGCAAAACGATCGAGAAATCACGCCCTGCCTCGACCACCTTGTCAATCCACTCGATCTGCGGCACCTGGCAAGATGGGGTCGACCAAGCACGAAACCCGGAGCGCGAGTGTCAGACTTCCGCAACTTAATATGAATCTTTTGACGATGCACCAACTCACGGAGCGTGTCTTGCCAGGGGGGCTCCGCTCGAGAGCGGGCAGGGTCAGGGGCGCTCCTGCAGCGCCCTTACTTGGCTGAAGGGATTTTGGATACTGCGTAATTTTCGGTTGAACAGGGTCTCACGTTCCCCAGGTCTAGCCCTCTTTGTGGAAAAATGTTGACAGACCAATCTACGCCACCCGATGCCTCCATTTCGTAGGGCTCCATGGGCTCGGATGGCGGCTCCTGTGCGACAGGCTTCTCTGGCAGAGTCTGCTTCACCTTGGTGCCTCAGCACCCAAAGGCTTTACGCTCGTTGCTGCGGCTTCTAAACTAGTCTGACCGTTCGTTGCTGCACCTCGGGAGCCATGAAGGTCTGCATAGGCTCCGCCACGGCCGCAGGGAAGGCCACGGCTTCGGGCTCCGCTGCAGGTGCCATTTGAGGCATTGGCTGAGGCACGGCCTGGGAAGGGGAAGGAAAGCCGCATTTGCAACAGGCGCACAGCTTCCCCCCCCGAGTAGCCTGAGGCGTCTTGGAGACCTGATTCAGGGCAGAGGATGGCCTAAGACCGGCTCCTACGGCCGATCTCTCCGCTAGCCGCCAGCCGCTAGCCAAAGGCACCTTGGGGACGACCACGATCTCCTCGTGGACCACGGGCTTCTTTCGCTGGACGGTCTTGTGCACGACCGTTGGCTTCTCGACCTCCACTACCTGAAGCTGGTTCTGGATGACCTCGGATGGTTGCGATTTGTGTCAGGATCTTCGGGCCAGTCCACCCTCAGCCACTGAAGCCTTGCAGCCACGCCGCAGTGTCCACCACGGTGTGCGTGATTTTTGGTACCTTGATGATCTTCTCCTCAACTGTAATCTTTGGAACCTCCACCACCTTGACCACGACTTGGGGCTGCGGGACCTCCACAACCACTTCGATAGGATTCTGAACAATTCTCTGCTCTTCGTGGATGACGGGGACGTGGACGATCTTCTCCACCTTACTTTAGCAGCTGCACAGGTTGATGCAGGAAAGACAACAGTGTCTTGGGGGGCAGAAGAGCCTTTGGCACATATGCTTTTCCGCCAAGGCTAGCGACTGGATGATTCCAAAGCCGACCCTTGACGATTCTCGTAACAGCCGACGTCTGCAGACAAGTGGAGAGGCTGCAAGAAAACACAGCCTGAGAGAAGCCAAGGGGCGCGAGACTCGATTGGGATGTCGACCCATTCCTCAACGTGGAAGTTCGTTACTCGTTCCTGCTCCATTACCTTTGGCACGTGCACGATCTCTTCCTGCCCGGAACATGGCAGTATTGCTGCTTCCCTCTTTGGGCTCTGACTCCATATGACGCACACGGCACACGGACACACAGCTGGATTCCCTCAAGAAAATCAGGAGCTGAGCCCAGGCAGATCGATCCAGCGAGTTGACCCATGTCAACGGCCTGGTTGATGGGGACTGGCACCTCAACCACCTCGATCGCACGAGCGTCATGATAAGCTCTAGCGCCTACAGCTTTGCATCACCCTGCCTACGATCAGTGGTGAAGCGAACACAGGCACCCATACACAAACCCAGGCACAAAGCCCCACTTCTTATGAAGCGCCTCCTCAACATGGGTTTGGAAGAACCGGCGCTGCTGAACTACCTGCGGTGAGTCACATCTCGAACTCTTCTCCCTTTCGCAACTATAACGAATTACTAGGACTACTGACTACTAGGGCTGCTAGGGTCCTAGTGGCGAGCATGATGTGCATGACAAGCAATTGTGAAAGCTGGGCCTTTGGAACGTGCACCGTCCTGAGCACACAGGAATTATGCGCCAGTTTGCATGTGGTAGCTGCGCATCGTACGGTACCCTTCGAGCTAAGCGAGGCAGCATGGGTGTGGCCCCAATGAGGCACTGGCTCCACTTGCTCCTGAATTATAGGGACCTTCGCAACGAAAAGCAGACAGCCGGAAGGCAGAGAACTGCTGGACTCGGGTTTTGGCATCCACGATCTCCTCCACCTGCACCTGAATGGGGGAAGCTCAATTTGAAGAAGAAAAGCCTCAGGTGGAGGTGGACCGGCCTGGCGCTGGCGTGTCGCCGTCTTCACCACTGGCACGTGGACGACCTCCTCCTGGGTGACTGGAACTGGCACTTCCACCACCTGCCCACGCCAAGCCCAAGCTCACTCTGAATCCACACGCGTGTTCCCAGCATCTGTATGAGGGCAATCGGGGCCGAGCCTCTTCCACGTGATTCATGACAGTTCTCTGCCTTGAGACACAAAGCAAGATGATGATGCAAATACACAGGGCGTCACAAGCCTCTGCTCGACGATCTTCGGCACTTGCACGATCTCTACCTGCTCTTGATGTACCGGGATGTCCACGATCTGTTCCACCGCCACCTGGCGATGCAATTCAAGATCAAAGATCCAGGCGTCATGCTGAATAACTCTCGCACCTGCTTTTGCCTGGTGGCTGTGATAACTTTTGGCACCTCAGCAAGTATTTAGAGCAGACATGCACCCCTCAAACAGCCGAATCCCTTAACTCCGAACTGAGAAGCCGGCATGTACGATTTCCTCTTGAACAACTGGAACCGGTACTTCCACCACCTTCGCCGACTTGTCATGAATTCGAAGAGTTTCAGTTTCAGCGATGGCCATATGACGCTACGATTGAAGCAACGAGAAGCCTCTTCGACCTGCTGGTGGACAATCCTCTCCTAGCGTAATCGCGATCGGCACTCCGAGTTGAGTGGCGGCAGAAGCACGATTGACTCGATGTTTCGTCCTTGGGGATGATGACAGGCTTCTCCACGATCGGCTGGCCTGGCTTGGGACCTTCCTTGTAAGGCACGGCATCCAAGAAGACCTTGGCAAGGAGGCGTCAAACTGCTACCGTAGAGGCCGCGCCGCCATGCGGCGATTTTCATCTTCATCCGATTTCAGGAGCCAGCTGGAGGTGCCACCATCACGAAGATTGGAGGGGCTTGCACCACCTGCCCCACGATGGGCGCTGCCACCGAGGGCATCGTCTGGGTCAGCACCGGTGCCTTGCAACAGCGCAGTCATGGAGTCACGGTCTGAGATGGTCTGAGGACATATCAAGAAAGAGTCTCAAGATACGTGGCCTGCATTGGTTCTGCGGGAGCATCCAGCAAGGCAGGTGCCGGTGCTGTTGCTGGCGCCGCCGCTGCGGGCGCTGGTGCAGGCGCCGCCACCGGCGCCGCTTGCACGGTGATAGGTGGCAAAGTCATCTGCGGTGCAGGAGCTGGCTGCTGCGCTCCCGGGCCTGAAGCAGCTAAAACAGCATGAGTGCAGGAGATTCACCTTGAAGGCTTCCATCACCGAGCCGAAGTGCCTGGCAAGTCGACGAGCTGCCCGTCCTTCGACAATCCAGCAGGCTTGGCACACGTAAACAGGCATCGGCTCCATCGCATGATGGACATGCAATGCACATCAGGCCGAAAATGCGAGCTCTTTGACTCAAGCACGTCCTCGGCGACTTGTTTGAATCTCTTGACGATCTGGACCTCCGGAACTTCCTGCAGTGGCATCTCAGCAGTTCAGGGGAACGGTCCGCGTGACGCGTGAGTGATGAAGGCAGCTGGAGTGGAACATCAAAACCTCCCAGTGCCCTCCCACTTGCCCTCCCACTTGCCGCACTTGCCCCAGGCCTGCTCCGTGATGATCTCCTGGATGGTCGGTACCTGCAAAGGGAGGCTGAGGTCCAAAAGCCTCCATGACGCAGAACTCCGCACCTCCACAATGTGCTGCGTCAGCTCACCAGGAACGAGGTTCTCCTGGTCGAAACTCCGTATTGAACGACAATAAACATGTTGTTGAGGCCTGAGCTCCCTCCTGCAGGAGCAAGCACTCTAACACTGCAACATCCTTGTAACAGACCAGACCAACAGCTGAAAGCGCAACCCTATGCGAACCTCTTCTACAACTCCAAACTCAACAGTGCAGCAGCCCTCAAGCCATCGCAGCTCACAAGCCCACATGGACTCCACAAAATCATCAGAGAGAGGCTGGCTCCTCCACCACTCGGACCTCCTGCGGAGCCACATCGATTTCCGTCGTCGCTCCCGTGACATACACGGCCTCCGCTTCCTGAGCATTCAACCCTTGAGAAGAGTTAAGATCTTGACACTCCTCACCCGCTCCCCTTGAAAACGGGGCTGGCCTCCTTTGTCATCATCGTTCTCGCGTGGATCTGTGGCAGACATGTCATTGTCAGAGCAGTTTCGGAGGTCGACAAGCCCAAGCAATCCAAGGGCGAGGCAGTCTGAATGTTCGTGTAAGGTCCACGTTCGCTTGGAACCTCGATCTTTTGCCTGGCGAACACCATTCGAAGCATCGGCGGTTGTCAAGGCAGATCGAATCGCAAGTCAGCTCCACGTGTGTATCTGGCCCTGGATCGTGTGCACGCCCTTCTGGCTGCGAATGGGATCCCTCAGGACCCGGGTCTTTCTACAGACAAAGCGAGACTTGATCCCGCAGCATATACGTTTGATTTGATACAATCAGGATCACAGTGCTAAGTTCCGCAGCCGAGTGCGTGTAAGCACAGGCTCCAGGGTGCTGATGTCCAACCTTAGTCTTTTCACAAAGTGCATGGACTTGTGTTCCGGAGATTGCTGGGTTTGCCTCACACCAGCATCTGAGCCACAAATAGGCCAAGCAAGCGGCTGTGTGTTCGTTGGTGCAGACATTGTCAGCGTCGGATCTACCTGGGCCTGGAACGAGAGAAACAACCATGTCAAGCCATGTCTTTATAGGCTTTCACCATGTGCTGTTGGACTCAAAAGCAAACACTCACAAGTGAGTCGGTGAGTGTTCAACGGCTGCTCAAGCATGATCTGAAAAGTCGACCCTGCTTACAGCGCTTCCGTGACTACAGTCTCTGCAGAATGCAAACTCCGAATTTGTACGTAGACGCGTTCGACGCTCCGGTAAGAGCAGCGGTTTCGCATACGTATATGTACATATACATATATATATATATATATATATATAAATGCATATGCATGCAGTATCTACCTTTCTGTTAGTTCATAACAAGGGTTCAGAGTGTCTGAAACTGTAACTATACAGGGATTCTGAAGGCGTTATGACACAAATGTGTATGTAACGATACATGGATTACGAAAATGCTGCTGCACAATTGAGGCTGCTTTTCAAGAACTTCAACCACTTGCAGGGCCAGGGGTGCAGGCCTGCATAGCCCTCTCAAACTCTTCGCGAGAGACTACTCCATCGTTGTTGGCATCGATGCGGCTGAAGAGATCCTAGCAGAAGCGGCACTACGATCATGCACACCAAGAATGTAGTCAGACATAGTTTATGTAATACTGGAAAATGTGTGTGTGTGGGTGTGTATATATATATATATATATATGCATTCCTATTTACACACGTTACACACATACATGTAGATAGATAGAGAAACAGATAGATAGCTGACTAACTAGGCAGGTAGCTTGCTAGCAAGCTAACTAGCTACCAAGGCGAACAGATAGGTGGATGGATATGTATGTATGTATGTACGTGCGTATGTATGTGTGTAAACATTCTGCATGTGTGTGTGCAACTCTTGTCTCCAAGGATTTTGAGTCGTAGCATTTTCGGTAACATTATTGTTGAAGAAAAGCCGGGGGCCATCCCTCTTGTCATTGGTGGATGGCCAACGAAAAGGCCAATTACAAAACTGCAAACGTACCTGCACGTAGCTTGAGCCTTGAGACACAAACAGTCAATTGTATCGCTCAACTACTGTATGGTCATGTTTGTGACAAATTTGGGAAGAAGAAGTTTTCTGAAGCCCTCATAGTCGAACTCAAATTAATCTAGATTCAAGAAATTTACAGTGGATACAAGAAGTGTCAAAAGAAAGAGACTGAAGAGACTAGAAGACAACCGGCGGAGACCGGATCTACATGTATGTGTGTGTGCCTTTGTATGTGCATGTATATGTAACAACGTGTCGAGCAAGACACATTTCACCAAGCCTTGAGACTCAAACAGTCAATTGTATCGCTCAACTACTGTATGGTCATGTTTGTGACAAACCTGGGAAAAATGGATACAAGAAGTGTCAAAAGAAAGAGACTGAAGAGACTAGAAGACAACCGGCGGAGACCGGATCTACATGTATGTGTGTGCATGCGCCTCTGTATGTGCATGTATATGTAACAACGTGTCGAGCAAGACAAATTTCACCAACTCGGTCTGAATTACAGTAATTCTGACAAAGGGCCAGTCGTGATGGTTGCTTGAGGCAGCCCCACGAAGTGATTCAATTCTGGTATGCAACCAGACTACTTTGCACCAAACCCAACGTTCTTTAAAGGCTGACGCGCTCCCGGGTATACCCCTGCCAGTAAGCACCCAAGCATCTCTGATACGTCTGTTTCAGGTGTATCAAACTATTGTGTCATAGCATACCCAAAAAGTCCTATTATACCAAATGTCATTTTTCAAGAGTGGTCACCGAAAGCTGATCCATCGTCTTGATAGTTTTCTGCGGAGCAGTTCCAAAGCTGATCCAGCGGATTTTGAGACCCAAGGCATGCTCAAGCTGCTGGAGATGATTCGTCCCGTTTCGGCACCCAACAAGCACCCTCCGTTAGGTGTACTGCTTGCATATAGGTAAAACTGTAGCTTCATCATCATTGACGTTCGTAGGTTCGTTGTAAATTTCGTTCGCCACCCAAAGCTGATGCAGCATTCGTGTGATCTTCGTCCCTTGGCATTACATTTCCATTCGAAGCATTCGTGTTTTCGGGCAACGGCGCTTGTTGTGTTGCTATTGTGGTTCTTCGTTCAGTCGTCGTCGTGGTCGTCGTCGCGTTCCTGTGTTGCTCCTGTTCGCTTGTCACCGTCTTTATTGTTCGTGTAGGTGTTCCAGCCACAGTTATTGTGGTGCTGGTTGTTGTGGCGTTCGGTCGTCGTCGTCGTTGCTGGTACTCGTTTGCTTACTTCTGTCCTTAGCACGTGCGCGTCGTTGTTGTTGTTGTCGTTGAAGGTATGACCTTAAGGGCTTGGTTTGTTCGGAGATTCTGTCTTTATTGCTTCAGCTTGTCTAGTTGCTCTGTTGACATCCGGTTACAACCGGGGTTGTGTGTGTGTGTGGAAATCCTGTATCTAAAGATCTTGAATCGTGAATTGCTGTAGAGAAGCAGGAGTGCGGTTCAACAAGTATCAGTTTATCAAGAACACGACGACGACAAAAAAGACGACGACAAAACAATGGAAAGAAGAGATGCAGGCGCAGATCGAAAGTTTTTGAGCACAAAGACTTGGCCCAGGTATATGGGGATCACTATTGGTTTGTCTTTCAGATTCAGGTTGTGACTTTCAACTGTTTGTCTAGTTGTTCTGTTTGACAACCGGTCCTACTGGGGCCGTGTGTGTGCAACTCTTGTCTGCAAGGATTTTGAGTCGTAACATTTTCGGTAACATTATTGTTGAAGAAAAGCCGGGGGCCATCCCTCTTGTCATTGGTGGATGGCCAACGAAGAGGCCAATTACAAAACTGCAAACGTACCTGCACGTAGCTTGAGCCTTGAGACTCAAACAATCAATTGTATCGCCCAGCTAATGTATGGTCATGTTTGTGACAAACCTGGGAAGAAGAAGTTTTCTGAAGCCCTCATAGTCGAACTCAAATTAATCTAGATTCAAGAAATTTACAGTGGATACAAGAAGTGTCAAAAGAAAGAGACTGAAGAGACTAGAAGACAACCGGCGGAGACCGGATCTACATGTATGTGTGTGTGCCTCTGTATGTGCATGTATACGTAACAACGTGTCGAGCAAGACACATTTCACCAACTCGGTCTGAATTACTTTGCTTCCCTTCCACATACGACACTCGATGCTTGTGCAGGTGCAGGCAAATTTATGCAGACAGCCGAGCTTCCGTTGCCGGTGCTGTCGGTTCCGCCAGCATCTTTGACCTTTGCAGACACATCCGCCTTGACTTGCAGCTTCCGACAACTCATATGAATGCACCAGAGTGGCACTATAAAGGAGTGAAGGCTGTGAGCTCCGCGGCACCGATATTGGCAATAACTAGGCGGATGCACACATACCTGCATGGTATTGGATTCACAACTCTGCCGAATGCAAGTCCAAGACGTACTTAAAGGATCGCGAGATAGCCCAGCACAAGTTACTAATTATGAGTAGCAAGCACAAGCAAGAGGCAAGTCAACTAATCAGCCTTCGGGCGTGCATCAAGATGCTCAAGAATGTGTGCAGAGCCGCATGGTGCAGTAGACGACTTCATGCGCAGCATGCAGTTAGTTGCAGTTGGACCCTGAGCCAGGAGCAGGCCTTGCCGTAGCAGGTGACACACGAAGCTTGATGAAAGCCAAAACCGCGGTCAAGCGCATCACAGAAACATCACAAACACTGAAACAAGGAGCTGTGCACCAAGTGATGCTGCACGTCGCATCCGCAGTCATGATGTGTTTCTGACTCAAGTTGCAGCTCTGGCCAGCCATCGGACACTGCTGGCTCTCACGGCGGTCTTGAACTTGAGCCGAATACCCACAGACGCTGAGGTGAGACGCGGGAAAGCGTTCAAGGCAGCTGCACGCTTGATCTTCGCAGCTCCTTAAGATTGCGCAACCACCTTGGGCAACGCAATCGGGAGGCCCTGCTCAGAAAAGGCCGAAGGGGTTTGAAGATTCAGCCGGAGCCGCATTGGCCTATTCCAGTACTGGGCAACATGAGCATGTCGAAGCACCAGCACTCTCAGAAGCTTCATAGATCGAAAACCAAAGTGTGGCATCTCCGGATTGGCCCAACCTGAGCTGCTGGATCCGCGCTGCAACCGCCTCGTGCAAGCGGGATGTCGACACTAAGCCCAAAGTGTGAGCATCTATCTTCCCAGCAGCACGCTCAATCGGAAAGCTACGCGGCTTCACTGTATGTCAGGCATGCGCCATGGCTGCACATCATGGCAGAGTGCACAAGAGAGAGCCCACTCCCAAACGGGCGTCCTCCACAACCTGCAGCCTCGGAATCAATTCTTCTATGGGCTGTAACTTGAAATTGAAAAGGAAAGTTTCTTCGCCAAAGCGATATTTCGATCCCTGTTAGTGCGCCAAGCATCGACGCGCTGCAACACAGACAAGAAAACTTCAACAAAATTGCCGAAACAGCACCGGGCTGTGCAGGGCATCCTACCGACACACTGGTTTGAAGCTTCCGGCACTCAGTCAACAAATGCCTACCGTGGCTGCGTGATGCTGCGTGGGTGGATGGCTGGGCGGGTTTCAATAACCTAAAACTGCGGGAAAGCAGACAAGTGTGCGACATTGAATTGCGCAGCTGGAGCGGCAGCACCCTTGCAAGCAGTTCGTTGAATCAGAACAAAGAAAGAGTTCACTCTCTACGACACAAGTTACGCCGCCGGATCGGCTCAATGCTCCAAGCGCCCTGCTTGGCCAGGCACAGGCATTGGCATTTGACCAACATTGCCGCCCTGCTTGCTCTGCATGATTTGCATCATCCTGCCAGCAAGCAGTAAGCAGTGTGAGCCGCAGCATGATTCGCCGCAGATGCAGCCAGCACCCCGCAAAGGTCTAAGTCGTCGACATCTGCATCTGATTCTGCATCGTCATTTGCCACTGCATGAGCCTCAAGGCATTCAGTATTGACGTGCAAACTTCATCGAGCAGGTCAAGGGATTAGCGCAGATTCCAGGTGTATGGCTGTTCCGGGCTCATCTGCTGCATCTGCTGCGGGGTCAACATCGGCATCTGCGGCATCTGCGGCATCTGCGACATTTGTCCCGGGACGCCGGGCCTGGCTGATGAGCACAGATATGAAGTCCGCACAAAGCGTCAATTCAACGCCAGCATCACTGCACTCCCATCTGCATCGCCATGGGCTGCATAGGCCTTGGCATGTGAAGGCCGCACTCTGCCCTGCACCCTCAAGCGGCAGCCACTTCTATAGGTTCGTCTGATTTTGCTGGGAACAGCTTGGGGCTCTGCACCGCCGGGGGATGGCCACCCTGCAAAACTGTTCTTGCCGGTGCTTCCCATCTCTCAGACATGCTGTGCCACGCTCTCACCCCAAGCACTGACCGGGCCTGGACAGCGGCTGAGCTCGGAGGATCACAAAGATCATCGAACGCAGAATATCGAGCAGTAGTGGCCACCCTGATTAGGTTCGTGCGAGCAGTGGCTATCCAGCTTCGAACGACCTGCCACAGCTACGGGCTGCACCAGCCTAGTTACTTGTACCCCTCGGAGTTCAATGTAGCAGGTTGGCCACACATAAATCGATATCGACTGGGGTTCAGACTCTGCTCGGGACAAATACATGTGACTTTACGACGTGCTTGGGCACTATATCGGGACGGGCGAAACAAGCTGTTCCCACAAGAGGTCCGTGACTCAGCACCCAGCGGCTGCACTTCTTGCGGAGCTTGGCTAACAGGCGCAGGTGCAGCTTGAGGAGCCTGTAGACTTAAGCAGTCAAGCAGAAGCCTCTCCTTCAGGAACATGAAGCATGACTCGCGCAAGCAGTTTGACCAGTTTGACCCAACCAAAAAAACCTAGCCTGCTGAGCAGCAGCAGGGGGGGGAGCCTCTGTAAGTCGGCATGGGCGGCTTTCTCAGAATCCGCAGAGAAAATCGAATGGCTTTGCTGCCGCCTGGGTGAAGTCAAGGTCCAGGTCCAGCAATCCTCGGGTTGCTAAAACCAGGGACTCGGGAGATCCGGGAACGCACTTTGGCTCATGAAACTCCGGCAATGTTGAGGCCAGGAGCCGCCCGAAGCCGGAGGGTTTGTCGGCGCACCGCCTTGTGCTCCTGAGACTTCTCGGGCTTTCGATGCGTCCGGTTCAGGCCACGCGACAGTGGCTCGTAAGTTTATGTTTTTCCCGTTCGTTGGCACTTGCCCACCACGGCCTGCGCTCGAGAAGTCACCCCAGTCTGCGCTCGATTGCTCTCCTGGATGTGGAAAGCTTCGTGCATTGAGGGCATCAGCGATTGCACAACTCAATGGATCACACTTCACTCCAAGAAATCGACAAACATTCGACAACCTTGACTTGGTGAGACTGCATCGCTAACATGAGACATTCGCCTGCTTGGTATTTTGGATATGGCACTCACCACTGCCCACCTGCCCCACTCTGGGCGGCTTGTGGCGCCTGCGCTCCATCGGGAAAGAAATCGTTGTCACTCCTGGGACGGAGGAATCACTCATTATCAATAAGCTGAAACCCGAAGCAGCGAATTTAAACATACGCCAGCTCCCCTTGGCAACCACGACTCACTGCTACACTCAACGGTGAAGTTCACATACGGTTGCCGGCCTCTGGTTCCGTCCCGGGTCCCGTCCAGCACTATGCCGACGATCATCATCATCTTCGAATCTTTCGCGGCTTCCTCTGCGGTCGTCTTCTCTCACATCTCTGTCGTCTGACCGCCTGTGATCCCGATCTCGGCGATCTTCCCGCCTGTCGGCATCTCGGTCGTAGCGGTCCCAACGATCCGAATGTCTGTCACCATCTCTCCGAGACGAACGCTCATCGTCGTTCCAGTCAGGATCCCGACGACTTCGGCCAGTCTCCTCCTTGTCCCTGTACCTCTCGTTGTCCCTTTCCCGATCTCTATCGCGATCCTTGTCGCGATCCCTTTCGCGATCCCTTTCGCGATCCCTGTCACGGTCCCTGTCGCGATCCCTATCCCAATCCCTGTCACGATCCCTGTCGCGATCCCTGTCCCAGTCTCTGTCGCGATCTCTGTCGCGATCCCTGTCGCGATCCCTGTCGCGATCTCGGTCGCGATCCCTATCACGATCCCGATCTCGATCCCTGTAGCCATCAGCTGGACGGTCAAAGTCCCTGTTCCTGTGCCTGTCGTGATCCTTGCTGGGATCCCAGTCCCGATCACGATCTCTGCCTCCGTGACCGTTGTGACCCCGATCTCGATGGTCATCCGCGTCTCGAGGATCGTCATGAGATCTTCGGCGCTCCTGCTGGCGATCTCCTCGCGAATCCGAGTGGTCGCCGGCACGTCTGTCTCTGCCGTCGTCTCTTTCTCTGGTGCTCCGGTCGCCGCCTATCCATCAACCGAAGATCTCGCAAGCTTGCACTCTGACACAACGCTGCTCGACCCGTCCTGCACTGTCGCGGTCACGAGGCTGCTCGAAGCGATCTCTTTCATGACGATCCCCATTCCTAGCAACCTTGAAAGTTCGGCACATGCTGCTGCAACCGCGAGAATCACGTCACATGTTTGGATTCCGGCCCAGCGCTTTTCTATGTACTTCATTTTGATGAAGTCCCGGCACTGCGGCATTATGAGAACGAAAACAAGCCGCGAAATCACGTCGCACTCCGGGGGCCTTGGCTTGATCGGTGCTATCCGGCTCTTGGAAGTCACGAGGATCCCAGCTAGCCAGGAACTTGTCAGCGTCTTTCGCATTTCCACCGCCTCGACAGACAGCAAGCACCGTCTGAGTCTGACATGCAGTCTCTTCCTGATCAACTCGCATGTCTATAGGGCCCACGTTCGATGTCTTCCACTTCTTCCACGGTCCATTTGGAAACGGAGATGCCCTCAAGGATTGCACAGTCTGTTGTTTCTGCACTTTCGAGCTCAAGACAGCCAAGCCGAGAAACAAACAACTTCACCTCGTACCCGCCTTCACTTTGTGGCTGAACTCGCGGTGAAGTCCGCCGCACGTAGTGCACACGAAAGTCGCAAAGGAAAGACACACATACGTTGGTCCGACCTGCGAAGGCACGAATCGCAAAAGCAAACTGAACGAAACCTCATCCATTTGTCGACTTCTTTTCCATCTCATGACCAATCGAATTTCAAGTCTTTATTCAACGGATGTTCAAGCTTGAACACCCTCGTCTACGGCACGACGTATGGCATATGGAAGACACCACACCACACGCTTCACAGAAGGTTCACTCCTTCCGATCCCACTGACAACACGCTTCACAGGCCCCAAACCACAAGCAAGCAAGCCTCCGTGCAATCAGCGCATTTCTTGTTGGCTTTGTCGCTGCGCTGGAAGGCGCGGATGCGGTCCAACAGATTCTGCAGTCGGCAAAGTTAGCACAGCTGCAAATCACGACCGCGATTACACTAAAAGGTCACAGATGCTGGCCTTCTCACTGACCTTCTTAGCACCAGCCATGCTTAATGCGGCATGAAAGCGCTAGCTGCTGGCTGTTGCCCAGGTGGAAAAGCCTTTCTTGTTTGCTTTCAAACACCTTACTCGGCTGCTTTGATGCAAATTTCTTGAAACATGCAAGCCAAATGCTGCAGTCATTTCGATCGTGTCAAAACAACATGTTTTCGTCCTCCAATCGTAACTTAACCAAGAGACCCTAGGCCAGGCGGTTGGTCAGTGATGAAGTCTGCCAGCACAGATCGTGCGTCATGAAGGGTCTGGAAGCAGTCGGGTCGTTGGAGGTGACCAGGGCGAGACACGTTGATGAGAAGTGCTCGCGTAATTCCAACTGCCAACATGCAGGGAACGTGCGACGCAATGAAGTTGCTGCCCCAAAGTTGCAAGTTGTCATGTGTTTTCAAAAATGTACTGCAAATGATGTCTTTTTCGACAACCAGTGCAACTCCCATTTCTGAAATGCTTGTGCTTCGGTAACCGTGCCAAGTAACTGCGGTGAAACCCACCAGAAAAATTATAAAAAACCCTTCGTCAAAAATCAAGAAAAACTTCTTGACCAATCAAAAAAATCCAATCAAAAAACTTTCTTTACATGTTTACAAGCAAAACCATGAGCATCCGGTGAATTCGTCCCCATCAAGAAAACTTTCAGTAGTAGTAGCACTCGTAGTAGGAGCAGCAGTCGTAGTAGTAGTAGTAGTAGTAGTAGTAGTAGTAGTGGTGCTAGTACTAGTAGTACTAGTACCAGTAGTACTAGTACTCGTAATAGTAGTAGTAGTAGTAGTAGTAGTAGTAGTAGTAGTAGTAGTAGTAGTAGTAAAAGTAGTAGTAGTAGTAGTAGTAGTAGTAGTAGTAGTAGTAGTAGTAGTAGTAGTAGCAGTAGTAGTAGTAGTAGTGGTAGTGGTAGTGGTAGTAGTAGTAGTAGTAATAGTACTACTAGTAGAGGTAGTAGAGGTAGTGGTAGTAGTAGTAGTAGTGTAGTGTAGTCGTCGCAGTAATTCGTAGTAGTAGTAGTAGTAGTAGTAGGAGCAGTAGTAGTAGTTGTAGGAGTAGTCGTAGGGGTACTGGTCGTAGGACTGGTAGTAAGGGTACTGGTAGTAGGAGTAAAGGTAGTAGGAGTACTGATAGTAGGAGTACTGGTGGTAGCAGCAGCAGCAGCAGCAGGAGTAGCAGTAGTAGTAGTAGTAGTCGTAGTCGTAGTTAGTCGTAGTTCAGTCACTCACTCACTCATGCGCCGTATCGGATCCGGTCGATACTATGCGGGGACAAGCATTTGCTCGGCGACCGTTGTCGCACCATTGTGGTAATGGCTCCCTTAAGGCCACAGCAGCATATCGGAAATTCAATCCATGCCATCAAGATCAAGCTCAAGCCTCCTGGCTAGCATCCCGTCCCCAGAAGTTGAATCATTGCCGTCCATCGCGCCTTAGTAGTCGTAGTTGTTGTTGTAGCAGTATAGTCGTAGGGGTACTGGTAGTATGACTGGTAGTAAGAGTACTGGTAGTAGGAGTACTGGTAGTAGGAATACTGATAATAGGAGTACTGGTGGTAGTAGCAGTAGGAGTAGTAGTAGTAGTAGTAGTAGTAGTAGAAGTGGTCGTAATAGCACCAGTACCAGTGGTAGAGGTAATAGTACTAGTGGTAGTGGTAGTAGTAGTTGTAGTGCACTCACTCACGCGCGCAGCAGAAGTTCGTCCGCTTAGCGATTGCGGCACACGTATTGTGTGGAGGCTTGGGCCTCGTGGCTTGTGCCACCCGTCCTGACCTGACCGCGCCTAGAGGCCTTGTTGGGACACCACAGCTGTAAGTAAAGGGGCTGAATACACAACCAAATATAGCACACAGTATGAATCCTGCGGAGCCCAGGGTGTGCGTCAAGCCTGAAACTGATTTGAGCAGAGAGCCCTAAGCACTGTTACTAAGTACAACAAGGTAAACATTCTCCTGGATAACACGAGCTTAAGTCACGGCTGGAGGAACCGAGGAAGTACCATCATCTGCAATCCTAACACCGCCAGCCTTCTCGAAGAGTAGAGTCCCATAGTGGCCAGCTCGAGAGGAATCCTCCAAGTGAATAATCACAGCACTGAGAACGTAGCGGGCAAAAAAGTCATTCTGCCAGGCACTTTCAGTCCCTCGAAAGAGCTACCGGGATCCTGGACTTCTGTACGAAACTGTTCAGCAGAAGGATTGCACACGCTACAGCTGAAGCCAGAGTGGGATTTCCTGGTAGGTGGATGCCATGCATGGATGGCAGATTGCAGAGTGCGAACTCTGCTGGTACAGGGCAGTGTAGCAAGGTCGCAATGCACTAGGAGACACACTACCACAGTCCTCTAGCTGGCTACGATTTACAGCAGCTGTGAGGAGACCTGTTATGTCCTCCTGCACGGAGAGTATCTTCGAGATATTAGCGAGACCTTGATGTTGTATGGATGCCCAAGCAACTGCCATGAAAACAGCATTTGAATAGCAATCGTTGGTGATTGGCTAAGACGGAGCTACTTTAGATGCTGCAAAGGGGCTGAAGTTTGCGAAGCTCTCTCTCGATCGATTGTGCAATCGGCGAGCGACTGCGTTTGTCGCAGCAAAGGGGGTTGTCCCTGCGAGCTGGAGCGAGGCGCTTCCTGCTAGGGCTTCGACCATTGTCCAGAACCTGTAGGCTCGAGATTCCCGAAGTCCGAGGTGCAGCGAGATGGCCTCTTGACGGAAGCTGCAGCCTTTTCACCAATTCTGAGGCCCATCTCTGCCAAAGAATTATCTTAAAGCTGGAGGGGTTTTGGAGTAAAGCACCGTGCACAAATTCCGAACCGTCAGCCACACCTCTTCGATACGATAACTCTGCACAGCTCAAGAAGTCCTGTTCAGAAAATTCCGCCGCTCTTGTATGATCTGTTCAGGCCGATACCATAATTACTTGATCTGCTCTGTTAAGAAATGCTGGAGTCACCGCTGGAAAAATTTCTTCCTGTCTTTGTGCAATCTCAAAGCTGCACAGTTGTGGCGCTGTCGGGCGATCCCATTTTTAAGGCTTGCAAAACACAAGCAATTCTGCTTTGCCAGGTTGGCCCTCCACAGTTGCATTCCGCTGGCTGCAGCATAAAGGGGCGAGTACACAGCTGCTTTGGACAAGTTCCGACCCTTCCAACGGTCTCACCAGACTCTCCAAAGTCATTACAATCAATGACATGCGCAGTCTGTGGGTGCAGGAAACTTGCGATCCCAAAAATTGGGACCGCTTGCGGCCTCAGAAAAGAAGCTAGGAAATGCAGCTGAGCTTCTTTTTACATATTGACTGGCAACTAGAGGACCAAAATTGGGGCCGCTTGGCGGGCCTTATTTTGGAGTCACGAATTCCTTATTTTGGGGCCCAAGCCCAAGCCTGTGCGTTCTAGACTGCTGCATCAAAGGCGACCCGCCCACAGGCAGGCATCCAGTGTGGAAAAATCATTCTCCAAGACTCCAAGAACAGATTTCCAAGAGACAGCTTGCGATGGACATAAGAGACAGTTGCATTCCGCACTAAAAAAGAGCGAGCACACAGCTGAGACAAGTTCCGACCGCGGACACATAGGACAAAACAGGATCTGGTTCAAACAGATCAAACAGTTGCATTCCGCTGGCTGCAGCACTATTAAGGGCGAGCAACACAGCTGCTTTGGACAAGTTCCGACCTTCCAAACGGTCCTCCACCAGACGCTCCCCAAAGTCTATACAATCAATGACATGCGCAGCTGACGAGATTCAGCCGCTGTGGGTGCAGGAATCAAACTTGCGACCCCAAAAATGGGGCCGTCTCGCGGCCCCAGAAAAGGAGCCGCGAAATCCAGTCAACCTCCTTCAACATATTTTGACTGGCAACCAGAGGACCCCAAAATCGGGGCCGCTTGGCGGCCCCTATTTTGGGGTCGCGAATTCCTCATTTTGGGGCCCAAGCCCAAGCCCGTGCGTTCCACACTGCTACATCAAGGCGACTCGCCCACAGGCAGGCATCCAGTGTGGAAAAATCGTTCTCCAACAAGAATTTCCAACAGACAGCTTGCCTGTGGAAGTGATAGACATGAGAGAACAGTTGCATTCCGCTGGCTGCAGCACTATTAAGGGCGAGCAACACAGCTGACGAGATTCAGCCGCTGTGGGTGCAGGAATCAAACTTGCGACCCCAAAAATGGGGCCGTCTCGCGTCAACCTCCTTCAACATATTTTGACTGGCAACCAGAGGACCTCAAAATCGGGGCCGCTTGGCGGCCCCCATTTTGGGGTCGCAAATTCCTCATTTTGGGGCCCAAGCCCAAGCCCATGCGTTCCAAACTGCTACATCAAGGCGACTCGCCCACAGGCAGGCATCCAGTGTGGAAAAAATCGTTCTCCAACAAGAATTTCCAACAGACAGCTTGCCTGTCTCATTTTGGGGCCCAAGCCCAAGTCCGTGCGTTGCACTGCTGCATCAAGGCGACTCGCAGACAGTGGAAAAATCATCTCCAAGAACAAATTTCCAAGACAGCTTGTGTGGAAGTGATGGCTGCTTTAAACAAGTTCCGACCTTCCAAATGGTCTGACTTCCCAAATTCCCTTACAATCATGGCTGAGCTGCGCACTTCCACAGACAAGCTGTCTGTTGGAAATCTGTTCTTAGATGATTTTTCCACACTCGTTGATGCAGCAGTGAACGCACTTCGGCTTGGGCCCAAAACAAGCATCGCGACTTCAAAATAGGGGGTCCGCCAACGGCCCCGATTTTAATCCTAGTTGTAAGTCAAACATATAATTTTCTGGAGCTGCGACGCAGTTCCATTGAGTCGCAAGTTCCGACTGGAAACATGCAGAGCTGGAAACTCATCTTGTCACTCAGCAGAAGAGGCTGCGAGTCATGGTCTAACAGATTCCTCTGGCAGAAAGTGCCCGGAACATCGTTTTTCTATGTGGCCTGTTGATTCCTGCATCCACAGCGGCTGAATCTCGTCAGCTGCGCATGTCATTGATTGTGATGACTTTGGGGAGCGTCC